TTGGTGGCACCGCTGCCCATGACAGGGGGTTGAACTGGATGAAGATCCCTTCCAAGCCCAGCCATTCCATGATTTCCCTCACCTGCAGCTGGTTGTTGTTCCCAGGACTGGCTTTGTCAGGGCCAGCAGTGTGATGCACCTCCGGGAGCAGCTCACGGACAAGGGCCAGTGCTCCAGCTTTACCAATGCTGAGAAAGGTAAGGAGCTCCCTGGGGCCTTTCCCCACCTGCTTCCCTGTGTTGTGCCTCATCCAGGCCCCAGCTGGCAACTTCCCTTTCTGCTTCTCCCAGGAATGTGCTTTAATTAGGTGCTGATGTTAATTGGTGTCAAAATTCACTTGTAGAATTCTTTCAGCTTTTAAATCTCTCTGTACCCTCAGTGCCTCTTCCAGAGCCTAGGAGAGCTGGAGAGGGACATGGGACAAGGGATGGAGGGACAGGACACAGGGAATGGCTTCCCACTGCAAGAGGGCAGGGTTAGATGGGATTTTGGGAAGGAATTCTTCCTTGTGACGGTGGTGAGGAGCTAGGATAGAATTCCCAGAGAAGCTGTGGCTGCCCCATCCCTGGAATTATTCAAGTCCAGGTTGGGTGAGGCTTGGAGCAATGTGACAAAGTGGAAGGTTTCCTTTCCATGGCAATGGCTGTAATTCCATGACCTTGAAGGTCCTTTCCCACCCAAACCATCCTGGAATTCCATGGAAATGCAGTCTCTGAAGGCTACTTGGCATTTTCCATGTTCCTTTTGGGATTTGTGCCTTAGCCACGCGCTCTCAGCTGTTGTTATTGGACAGGAAATTAGTACACAGAAGCTTGGTAAGTTTAAAAGAGAAAAAGAGCTAATTTTATTTCTGATCTCACAATATATAGAATTCCAAAAGTGACAGTGGATTGGAGGATGAAATTACCACCTCTCCAACCACACTGGTCAAACTAACAGTCTGTTAATTCTCTCTTCTCACAAAGAATGTAAAACAATCATTATTTACATGAACAGTGCGTGAGAACTCTAGTAGAAATATGTAAACATTATCAGAAGGCTAAAGAAGTTTTATGAAAACTTTAAAACTTTCAAAAGAACTATAAAAGAAAAGTTAATGCTTTTAAAAATCAGGGCAACACTCAGCCTTTATCCCAATTGTCCCCTAACCTGAAGAGAAAATTCCAGGCCCCTGGAACGCTGGCTCATGTTTACCTGGCAGCCCTTGGATGCAGTGGGAGAAGGCAGTTCCTGGTGTGGTCTGCTCCATCCTTTCCTCTCCCTTTCCAGATCCTGAGGAGTTCCTCAATCTCATAATGCAGCAGATCCTGGGAATTGAGCCACTTTTGAAACTCCAGTAAGTTTCCACAGCTGAGGGATACAATTCCCAGGGCCAGGCTCATTAATTCACCTCAGAATCCCTGGGCGGATGGGGGTCACTTATCCCTTTCTACCAAAGTGTTTTGGAATCACAGCTCTGAGTTTTTCCGCAGCTCCTTAGGAACAGACTCTGATCCTGCTTGTTGTGATCTTCCCATCTGGGAAAAGACACTTCTTATCCCTCCCTGGAGGGTGCTGCCTTCAGAAAATTGGGATAAAAACCTTGTGCCTTCCTCAGGGAGAGCCAGAAGGGGTTTGGGAAAGGTGATGCCCAACTTTAGGGCAGATCCAGTGGTATCCAACAGCCTTTGGATGGATTTGGGATGTGTCCAGGCTGCCAAGCTGGCTCGGCTCCCGCAGCCTCTCAAAACAGGCAGCCCGTGGATGCAGTCCCAGTTTTTTGGGGACTCTACAAAGAGGATGAGAAGCTGGAGGAAGCCAAAAATAACTGTGCTGTTTGTGAGCACAGAAAGGGAATTGTTGGATTTCTGTGCTCCTTTGTGGAGCCGCCGCTCGAGCCGTGGATCGTGGAGTGCTGGGAAAGGCCGAGCACAAAGAGGACTCTGTGCTGCAGCTCCCCTGCACGGGGTCATCCCAAGGAAATCCTTTCCCTGCTTTCTTTAGGGATTGTGGGAGATCTGCACGCCACTCACCTTGAGTTTGGCTTTTTGGATGCGTTTTTTAATTAATCCTTCATGGAAGCATCCATTTGTCAATTTAAATACTTCATTTACTAATACCAAATTATCTGTTGGATTTATATCGAGGGGAAATGGAATGCTGCTCCGAAGGGATAATGAGGCCAAAATTCCTACTTATCTACTGCTCCCCTGGCATAGATTTGGTATTTTTGGGTGGAAAAAGGGCTTTGTGTTGCACCAAACCACCCTCGGTGCCTTGAGCCCGGGAGCTCTCCCAGGACAAACTTTGGGAAAAGTCCAATTTTTGTGTCACCACGTCCCCAATCCCATGAGCTCTCCTTGCAGGTCAGGAGGCCAGAAGGAGCAGGAATGTTACTGCTACCAGATATTTATGGATAAACAGGAGGATCTGGTGGTTCCCGACGTACAGCAGTTGGTGGAACGCTCCTTCCTCTCCTCAGATCTGAAGCTGGTGGAGGTGAGTCCAGTTTCCTTCTGCTTTCATGCTTTTCTTGCTTCCCAAAATACCTGTGAGGCCTTGGATGTTTTATATCCAACACTGAATCCATGACTTAAGAAAAGGCCTCTGCTATTCCTGTTTCCCTTTTGTCCTGTGAATAATGACAGCAAAAAAATCTCTGGGATTTGGCTCTTCTGGCAGGGTGACTCCTTTCCCCACACTTTTTTTTTTTTCTTTTTTTCCCCAGATCCCATCTTGCTTCATTATCCAAATGCCACGTTTTGGGAAGGAATATAAAATGTTCAGCAAAATCATCCCTTCTTTGGAGCTGGATATAACAGATCTGCTGCTGGACAGTGAGTGATGGACAATGGGCTGTAAACAACCAGCTCTGGGTTCTCTGGGGTGGCATTCTTCTTCCTGGAGTCCCAGTTTTGGCAGGACAAGCTGGATTTTGGGTGGGATCTGGAGGAGAAACTCCCCCTCTGAGCTCTGTTTCCCTGGCAGGTCCCAGGGAATGCTGCCTGTGTGGAGATGTTGCCACTCTGGAATGCTCGGAGTGCTTCAAGGACAAGGTGTTCGCAGCCAGGGGCCTGAAGCAGTTCTGCAGCTCCTGCTCCAGACAGGTATTCCATGGCTATTCCCAAAATCCACCTTGGAAGCTCCCAAAATCCCCACAGTTCCCCTGGCTGTCTCTGCAGCTGCTCAGCCCTTTCCTGAGGGTCATTCCCACCGGGAGACAGAGGTGGTGAAAACTCTGCTTACACAGAGCCTGAATAATAATGGAATAATGGAAAAACTTGGATTGGAAAGGATCTTGAAGCTCATTCCAGTTCCACCCCCTGGATGCTGCTCACTACCCCAGGTTGCTCCAAGCTCTATCCTACCTGGCCTTGGACAATTCCAGGGATGGGACATCCACAGCTTCCCTGGACAGCCTGTTCCATAAATAAGGTGTAATCCCTGCGGGAACCGAGTGCTGGTCCCTCCCTGCTGCTTCTCCATCAGCATTCCCACAGTTTGTGCCTCTTGCAGGGTGGCAAGCTCCCATCTCAGCTTCCTGCTGCCAGGCTGCTCCCACAGCGCCATTCCCAGGCGAGCAGGGAGCACGGGGGAATCACACCAGCAGGGAATCAATTGAGAATCTGACCTCTGCCCCCACTTCCTGGCAGGCCAGGGCCAGTTCTGCCAATGCCACCCTCCCGTGTCCCCTCTCCCTCTCCTCAGGTTCACTCCCATCGCCGCCGCAAAGCGCACAAACCCAGGAGGCTGCACATTCCAGAGGAATTCCAGAGCTGGAGCGCCCGGGGCTGCCAGCAGGTGCCACGGGAGAAGCTGGAGCTGTTTGCAGTGCTCTGCATCGAGACCAGTCACTACGTATCCTTCGTGAAGTACGGCCCTGCCAACGAGCACTGGATGTTCTTCGACAGCATGGCCGACCGGCACGGTGAGGGAACGGGAATGGGACGTGGGAATGGGATGTGGGAAGCTGCCAAGGCCTGCTCAGTCCACCTTTTCCTCTCAAGCTCCCCTATTCAGGCTTTCTCTGGATTTGGCTTTCCTTTCATTAGGATCCAATCCAGAGGGGCCGAGCCAAGCAGGTGGGAGTTTTTCCAGGTGCTTCCAGCTGCTGGTTGTGGTCAAACAAAAGGGATTTGGGATCTTATCCCAGCTGGCTCAGCCTGTGGGCACGGATTGCTTCTCCTGTCCTTCCCCAGTGTGCTTTTATCGCAGAATCGTGGAATGGTTTGGATTGGACCTTAAAACTCATCCAGTCCCAACCCCTCTGCCATGGGCACCTTCCACTATCCCAGGCTGCTCCAAGCCTCATCCAGCCTGGACTTGGACAATTCCAGTGATGGGGCAGCTACTCTGGAAATTCCATTCCAGCTCCTCACCACCCTCACAAGGAAGAATTCCTTCCCAAAATCCCATCTATCCCTGCCCTCCGGCAGTGGGAGGCCATTCCCTGCGTCCTGTCCCTCCACATTTTGTCCAAAATCCCTCTCCAGCTCTCCTGGAGCCCCTCTAGGTTGAATGATCTCTCCTCATCCAGCCTCTTCCAATGCTGTTGACTTCCACATCTCCCAGCTGAGGCTCTGCATGACTCTTGAGTGTGCTGGCATCTGCTGGAGCTGTGGGAACTCATCCCTTTGGGATCTGGTTTGGGATTTTTCTCCTCCTTCCCACCTTAGGTGGTGAAAACGGCTTCAACATCCCCACGGTGACGCTGTGCCCGGAAGTTGCCAAATACCTGGACTTGCCCCTGGCTGTGCTGGCCCTGGAGCAGCCTCGGGACATGGATGGGGTGGCCAAACGCCTCTTTTGTGACGCCTACATGTACCTGTACCAGAGCAGGAAAATGGCACTTTACAAGTGACACCGTCAGCAATGGGAGCTTGGATCATCCCAGAAGGATGGAACTGGAAGCAGCCGAGCCTGGATGCTCTGAGCTGCCTCTTCTCGCCTCTCTTGGTGTCAAATTATCCAAGACAGGCTGGGTTTGTTAAATCCTGGCTTTATCAAGTGGTGGTTGGGCGTTGGGCACAGCTGGACGTGGAGTTATTGATGCTCAAATTCGTTCTCATTCCCCACATTCCATAATTTTCCCTCTCTGGGTACTCTGCAGCTGGAGCATCCCCACATCTTTGTTTCCCTGCCATCCTTTCCCTCCAAAGCTGGGGACCAGCAGAATTCAAAACACAAGGAATTATCCACAGGTTTACCAGGAAACCACAACCTTTCCTAAGACATCCTCACCTGGATTTGTGGAGTGAGGAAAATCAGGTCAGGATCCATTTTCCTCACCTCAATTCCCTGCACTTCCCTTATCCAGCACAAACTGTCACTTTTACCCACCATCCCTAATTTCCGATCACAGACATCCCGAGCTGAAGCTATGCTTTAAAAACAGATTTTTTTTCCAAGAACAAAACTGGGAGGAGGATGGGAGCAGAGGAGCAACATCTGGGCTCCTGCTGCTTCCTCCTCTTGGCAAAATCTGCACAGGATTCAGTGTTACATCCTCACTTTTAGCACTTTCTGTCCCATCTTTGCATCCACTTCCAAGTCTGCACAGGATTCAGTGTTAGATCCTCACTTTTAGCACTTTCTGTCCCATCTTTGCATCCACTTCCAAGTTCTGGGGTCAAAGACCAGAATTCCAGGGGCAAAAATCGAAAAAAAAAAAAAAAAAAAAAAAAAAAAAAAAAAAAAAAAAAAAAAAAAAAAAAAAAAAAAAAAAAAAAGCACTCTGGGATTTTCTGCAGGAGGGTTTAGGGTTTGGGTGGGAACTGGTGTTCCTTAAGTTAAATAAATTTGTAAACTTGGGGGTTCTCTGCTATTAAAGTGGGAAGCTGAGTCAGTGGGATGCCCAAATTCCACAAAAACCTCAAGGAAAGCAGCCAGGAGTCCCAGATGTGCAGGTTTAACCCCGTTCCTGCTGTTTTTCCTCCCTCTTTAATGCAGAGTGGAGTAATTTTAACAAAGCCTGGATATTTGGATCGGCCCTGGTGGCTTGGGATGTGTGGTTTAGGATTTTCCTGGCTTTCCAAGTGTTGCCAGCAGGTTCTGGAGGGATTTTTTTCCCTCTTCTCAGCTCTGACAGGTCATTCCTGGAATACTGGGTCCAGTTTGGAGCTCCCCAGTTAGGTGAGAGACAAAATCCAAGGAAAAAACACAGAAATGATGAAGGGACTGGAGCATCTCCTATGAAGAGAGGCTGAGGGAGCTGGAATTGCCCAGCCTGGAGAAGAAAAGGCTCAGGAAATCTCCTCAATATCCATAAATACCTGAGGAGAAAGTGCAGAGACACCCAGGAGCTTCTCTGCCCACCAAAATGGTTCCTAAACATCAGGAATTGCATCTTATCCATGAGGGTGACAAATGCTGGCACGGGTCACTCTCCTTGTTCCTCATTTCTCCTCTCCCAAAAACCCAGGAAAATCTTTACTCAGGTACAATGGACTCCTTATCTTTGGTGCTTTGCTTAAAAGAAAAAAAAAAAAAATCTAATTTTTAGCAAACGGATCATGGATTTCCTGTAGTTTTTTTTTTCCTGTCTTAAAATGGGATACAATGCTGTTGGAATTCCCAGAAATCCAAGACCACCAGGTCATCCTTTGTTAAACTCTTAATTTTCTTCCCTGTAATTTCTGCCAAGATCCAAACCACGGAGAGAAGGACAGACAGCAAAGTCACAGCTTTGATCCATGGGGATTTCCCTCTCACCTTCCCATTCCCCATGGAGCTTCAAAGGATTTTTCACTGGAATTAGGGTCAGAGCCATGGTGGGAAAAGGCCTTTATTTTAAATTTTTTGCTTAGTCTGAAGCTCAGTGTGGGTTAGAGCCACATTTCCTGTGGGAACAGGGGTTAGAGAGTGCAGGTGGCAG